TCCTGACATTCAAACAGAGAGGAAGAATGGAAGTACCTTTGTCTTATCACTTTGCTAACAAGAAGCTTTGGTTGAGTAAGAATCCTCCATAATTGTTTGATGATCAAGGCCTTGTTGAACAGTTGGATATCCTGGAAGCCCAATCCACCATCTTCCTTAGGCAATGTGATCTTGCTCCACGCTCTCCAATGGACCCCTTGCTGTAGGTTATCACCTTTGGACCACCAAAATTTAGCAAAAGACTGCTCACTTCTCTAACCACACCCACATGTAAGATAAAGCAAAACATGACAAATATTGGGAGAGAATTAAGCACATATTTCACCAGAACTTCTTTGTCAGCAGTAGAGAGGAATTTTTGTTTGACACAATTCATTTTGTAATATATTTCTTTTGTTTTATTAATTCAAAATAATAATACAAAATATTGAATAGACTATAAAAATAGAAAAGAAAAAATATAATTTAAAACTATACGAAAATTTAACTTATGTACCACGTGCATGACACATACACATTACTAGTAATTTTAAAATACTCGTGTAGTACGCGTAATAATATCTCTTACTTACAAAAATGTTATTAGTTAGAATAATTGATTTAAGCGTTGAAATACCTACATCAATACTCGTCGATTTTTGTTATAGATTGACTCGATTCGTGATGCGTTATGAAGCTTTTCGATCGAAAATATTGGTGTGTGATCATTTGACACATGCTAGGTAATAGTATCTCATAGGGTAGTGTCATAGATCTTGCTTATATTTCGTTTATGTCATAAGTGGCTATGCTAAAATATCATTGTTAAAATATCATTAATCTAAACAAAATCATATCTTTAATTACATTAGTTAAATGTTGGTGGGTGCGCACACTCACTTTTCTCACACACACAACACACAGTTGGACATACAAAGTTTCTTGTATCTATACATTTTTTCTTGTTTAAAAAATTTATTTGTTTATTTATTATGTGTCTGCCTGTGAAGTGATACGAATACAAGATTTATCTGGAGCTTGGTTTCAGCTGGAGATTCAAACTTTGAGCTCAACTTGTGCGAATCGGATTATTCGAATCTTTGGCGCGATTGGTACGACTTTTGAGTTTTTCACCTTTATTTTTTTCTTGGATTTTTGTCTCTCGCTTTCTCTCTCTCTCGTGGTGCACAGAACTCGAAAAGCGAGTATATGAATTGTCATCTGGTTCGTGATGACTCGTTTATGAATACATATGCTCTGGATTGATGTTTTTGTTCCTTCGTTGTTTTGCTTTTTCGTTTTTCGAGTTTTGTCCTTTTGTTTTCTTCTGGTAAACAACTAAACGAGAGTCTGAAATGTTTTGTTTCTAGTTCGTGAAAAAACATTGCTAGTTACGTATTAATTTGTTCCTGCCGGATAAAGTGGTCTGTGTGTTAGCCTGATGGAAATAGTGGAAGATGAAGACAGAGGAGAAAAAAAGGGCAGCAAATAGTTGTTTAAGGTCCAATATGCTAGTTAGTTCAGTTTTCTCCGATAATGGCGCAACTTTATGAAATTTTGACTATTAGCTGCATAGAACGCATGACTGAATGTTTTCACTGTGCCTTTTGGAAAAGAATTATCCAATATTATATGTGATAAAAATTTGAACATGTGTACTCGGTTTGAAGTGCAATCAGTTTGACATTCTACGCCCTATTTGTGACATCTTGAATGGTATTACATTCTAGTTCTGTAGGAATAGGGATCCATGTGCAAACTACGAAGAATTGAATTATGAGCAATTCATTAGACCTGTATGTTACAATCATCCTTCTTATCATGTGTTCCGACTTTTTGCTGAGATGCATCTGTAGTTAATGATAATATCAGATATTTATTGCAGGTACAGGTGGCTCTAGGAAAGCCAATGATTGCCTATTAAAGCTCCCCGGTTATGGAGGTAGCTGATGAAGAAACAACATTTCGTTTTTGATAGTGTATGTGGCTGGCCACGTTATTCCCTTCTGTTTAACTTCTCGCTCAAACCATGAGATTGTTCATTGATGATGTGTTTTGTGGACCATGAATAATTCAAACTAAGAGGATGTCACCTGTGAGGTGTAATGGTGTTCTAACTTATAATTGGAATTGCAGAGAGTACTTGGAGCAAAGATGAATCAGCTGCCGTTTATGGGAGTTGTCTGTACTGTGATGTTGTTCATTATATATAGGACCACAAATTATCAATATCAACAAACAGAGGTGTGTTACAGTTTGTTCAGCTGTCGATTGTTTTCACATAAATGTTGGACTAGTAACCCATGTGATCTTATCTTGTCTCAAAAAGATTTTGAAGCTGACACTTCCTCTTTTCTTTTGACGTTTTATTCACTACAATGACTTCTATTTTCTGCTGCCTTTTTATCAGATGGAATCAAGATTGTACCCATTTTACACATCAAAGGTATTTGTTTGTTTAGAGCCTCTCCCTTTCACATTTCCTTCTATCTCTTGCTTTGTTGTTCTTTTTATTTAAATCATTTGCCGCGTAAACTATATATTTTATTATTGAGTAAAATTAATGATCTGTTCTAGGACTCAGGAGTGGATTCTAGAAATTTAGATAGCTTGCCTCATGGCATCATCGAAGCAAGGTCAGACCTGGAGTTAAAGCCTTTGTGGACAGCAAGCAGCTCCAGGTCAAAGGTAACCTTTAATGCCAGCTGAAGAGTCTAATGCATTTTTCTTAATCTGATCAGTACCATTTGCTAATGTTCTAATTTTGATTCACTGATTTTATGTACATTTTCAAGAATTTCAGTTGTGTGTTCGTCATCTGCTAAAAAATGAAGATTTTGTTCTCAGTGATCAAACATGTGTTCCATTAAATTTTCAGGCCAGTGCACACAGGTCTTGTAATTTGCTAGCAATGCCCGTTGGAATTAAGCAAAAGAAGAACGTAGATACTGTTGTTCGAAAGGTATGGTGGTCTTGACTTTTTTTAAATATTTTTGGAGATTCAGTGATCTTTCAATTTAGCTGCTATTCACATTCACTACCTCATTCTTTTGTATTCAGTTTCTTTCAGAAAATTTCACAATAATTTTGTTTCACTATGATGGCAACTTGGATGGGTGGTGGGACCTGGGATGGAGTACAAGAGCCGTACATATAGTTGCTCAAAACCAAACAAAGTGGTAAATCCTTGAAATTGATGATTCACATCCATGTCTGTAGTCTGTAAATTCACATTATCTTAAGCGAATTAATTGTTGTTTTTTGAAGTATTTGAACTGACGCAAGTTCCACGCCAAATATTGGTTAAGTGTAATTATTTGATCGTGCGTCAGTATGATGCTCCTCTATTAGCTGTCTGTGCTTTGTCACTAACAGAAAATGGTATATTGTAACTTATAACTTTGTATAAATACATATTACAGACAAAGAAGTAAATGTTATTGTGGCCATGATCACTCCTCAGCTACGTATTTCAATGTTGACTTGTTATGTAGTTCTGTGGACTTATCAAATGGTAGCTTTCTTTGTATTTTCTTTTAGAACCTCAACATTTTCAATCTCACGTTTCAGTCTGAACCTCTAAGGTTGTATACTTGTATTCTAAGGTTGTATATTTGTATTGTACTGTGATGTTTAATCGGTTACCATTATCCTCTTTAATGTCCAGGTGGTTTGCAAAACGCTTTTTACATCCAGCAGTTGTTTCTATTTATGATTATATATTCTTGTGGGATGAAGATTTGGGGGTGAACCATTTCCACCCAGGAAGGTATTGTTGCAGCAATCCTTTAACAACCTATGTTTTTTCTTCCGAAAACTAAACATGGGAATATAACTGCAATATATTTTCTACATTTCCTCTAATCAAGCAGACAAAATTTTAACACTAACCTTCTAATACGTGATCTCAACCTATCATGATGCTCGGAGTACCTTATGATAACCTTTCTGTAATTTTCTTTCCTCCTTGGACAGGTATTTGGATATTGTAAAATCAGAAGGACTTGAAATATCTCAGCCAGCTTTGGACCCAAATTCAACCGGTATACATCACAGAATCACAGTAAGAAATAGAGTGAAAAAATTCCACAGGTGAGTTCTTTTAGAAAGTCTATGCAATTCAAACTTCTTCATTATATTCATGGTCTTGGTATTTACATAATCGGATTTGAGCAGAAGAGTGTATGATGACAGAGGTAGTATAAGGTGCTCAGATGACAGTGAGGGGCCGCCATGCAGTGGGTAATTTTTCCTCACTTTCTAAATCTTCTTATTGCTTAATTTTGCTCTGGTGTGCAGTTTTGTTTCCAAATTATCTCATAATCTCAACCTTCAACTTTCGTTTAATTTATCATGGTTCATTTACTTCTCACAAACTTCTGATTTACTAGAAACATGTAATTCCCATATTATTATGGATATATATGATAATGCTGTAAACAATTTTGTTTGTCAGTTCTAGTTATCAATATAGTGTAAGCTTTAACTTGGCTTCCCAATGTAAGATTTCGCATATATAGTTTGATTTTGTTAGGAGATGTTTTCTGAATATAAAAATAACCGAACAATGGCCAATGGGCAATTCTTTCATCAAGCACTTGGTGCACACCAGCATACAAATGAGAAACTGCTTGAATTATCATATTATCCTTAGCAACTCGTGCAAAGTCATAAAATGTTTTCCCCGATCCATAGAAATCCTGTTAATCCTTGAGAGGTTTGCAGTTTTGTGGAAGGTATGGCTCCAGTATTTTCGAGATCGGCATGGCATTGTGCCTGGCATTTAATACAGGTACCTTTTTTCGTTTGTGATTTTGTGGAGAATTTCCTTTCTTTGGGTAAAACGTAACAACCAAACTTGTTTTGAAGAAGGTCCGAATTTTTATTGAACAGATTTGCAACAAAGTACATAGCAGCCTAACAGTGTTGGTTACTTGTTCTATAATCTGCATAGACTAATCACTTCATTGAGGTGTCAATGAAATTTCATTCAATTAAGAAAGGATGAAAACAGTAATTCATTTCTTGCAATTCCCGTTATTGTTCCGAGGATAAAATCTCAGAGGGAGTTATTTTTTTTTGTTTTCAGAATGATCTAGTTCATGGATGGGGAATGGACATGAAACTTGGCTATTGTGCACAGGTAAGCACGATTATATTCAGGAGTAGTCGATGAGTTTGAATTCAGAAACTGCTATATTTGTTTTTGTTTACCAACTTTTCATGATGTGAGCAGTTAAGTTCTGCTTCACTTTTAAACTAGTACAGTGCCCGTGCGATGCACGGGAGCATTTATTACTTACTTGCCTTTTAAAATTTATTTTTATATTTAATTTGTCTAATGACAATAAAAATGTCATGAAAATGAAAATTATATGTTATTGAACATTTCCTTATAACATTCTTGGTTTGATTCTTTGGCTCGTAAAGTACTTTATGTATGTTCAAGATTATGTAAAATTGCATATTATGAGTTATTAGTTAACAAATTATATTTATTAAAATAATTAAGGGATCTTATTTATTAAACAAAATTCTAGTAGACCAAAAGTAGAAACTTTTAAGATTTTCACGCTTTTCTTTGAAAAAAATAAAAAATCTAATTCAATGTTGTGATTATGAAAAATTGAAAAGAATAATTAATTTTTTCTAAAAATGAAATTGACTTTCCTACCAATGCACCGATTGTTTTTACCAAACAAATTGATCCGGATATTTGGTTGAAACAAAGTGAAAAGAATCATCATTTTTTCCTAAAAATGCAACCAAATTGTCCTAACATTGCACCAATTTTTTTTACCAAACAAATTAAAATGATACTAACTTAACGAAAAAAACATAATTTATGAAATTGTTTCTTTCTTACAAAAAATTGATACTAACTTAACGAAAAAAAATGATATGAACTTACCAAAATCTCGATAAACATAGTTAAGAAAAAAACATAAGAATAAAAAAATATTGGTGCATTTTTGAAAAGTTGCACACGGTCTTGTAAAAGTTGCACATGATTTTGATATTATTGAATTTTTTTCTAAATAACTGGATAAAGTTTTATTTTAAAATCAAAGATTAACCGATTTTGTTATAAACAAACGTGGATACGATTTTGAATGTAAATCCCGTCCAAATCTCAACTTTGTTTTAAATTTAAAATTACACGTGGTATTTTTCAATTTGCACACATTTGTTGAAAGATAAAATTATTCAAAAATATTGGACGAATGTTAAGAATTATACAATTATTTGTTTCCCAAATTTGTATCCAATTTGCAAGATTTTTAAATTAATTTGTATTTGGAATTATTTTCATAAATAATTGACACACTCTTTGCATAAAAATTTCTAAATTTGTTACCTAAAAAAATGGGATTTAGATTGTGGTACAAAAAAATAATACGAAAAAAGTGGGATTCAAAATTTTGTCATAAGAATCTCTAAATTTGTTACCAAATGAATAAGATTCAGATTTTGTTAATTATTACTAAAAATTTTTACTAATAGTAAGTCAAACATTATATTTTTTTTATCAAACTTTCCACAAATGATTTTTCCATCAACCTTTTTCAATATATATAGATATTCAATTTTGTATTTTATTTCACCTGCCATGGCAAGTTCACAGCTGCTCATTCTTGCCACACAAACGGAATCATTCCTTTTCTCTGTTCCCTTGGGAAGCATTTTTAGCATTCATGACAAAGTGGGACTGACAAATGAATAATATTTATGAATTGAAAAAGCAATATTTGAGGTGATTATATTTTCATTCTCCTTAATGTTTAACTTAATTTTATCTTGCCTTTTCTGGACTCATTGTAGGGGGATCGCACAAAAAATGTGGGAGTAGTTGATAGTGAATATGTTGTTCATCAGAGTATACAAACATTGGGTGGGGCATCTGCTACAAAGGTCAGCAAACTAAGAAGTCAACCTTCAATTCTGTCCTTAAATAATTCTTTGATTGGAAATATGTGCTTATTAATCCTCATGTTGTAAGAAAGAGGATAATTTAGTTCTGCACTTTACATCGGTTTCGACCGTATTTGCGTTTGCCATCTAAAAATGATTGGAATTGTGGGCAGACCCAAATTAGAATATGAGGCATTGTGAATCTTCATTTTATGACATCTAGTTGAGTTTGTGATATTTGATATCTGTGTAGGTACCGAATCGTGAAGAGACTGCTAAGGTAAACCATTCGATCATAAGTTTCAATTGTTGTGCAAATCAATTTTGTTACCAGTGAAATTACTAATGGTAGGTACTTCTGTACTTGTATTTGCACATTGTACAGAGACACGCCATCGATGTAAGAACAGAGGTAAAAAAAACAGCTGTATCTATATACTTTCAGCACTGTTGTTTTTTTTGTAACGAAAAAAGCATATGTATGAATTTCACATTGAGCTTGGAACAAACATACTTGAAAAATTACTTTATTTGAGTAACTGAAAAGTATAAAAAGACCAAATTGGGTGTATTGAAATGGTTAGGAGTCTATAAATGCCTAAGAAAGTAAACTAAGAGATATAGGCATCAAATTTATATCAATAAGCACAACACTCATATAGGGTGAATGATCTGAACAGAGCATTATTAACATGAAATGTTATAAGAATGTTGTTTGGATTGGGGATCTGCAGATCAGAAGGCAGTCATCAATAGAACTCAAAAAGTTCAAGGAGCGATGGGAAAGAGCGGTTAAGGAGGATAAAAATTGGGTGGATCCATTCCCGAAAACCTGGAGACGCAAGATTTGGCGTAACTATAGGCGTCATTCTAAGGATTAAAAGTAAAGGTTTTGATTTGCTTGGTGGAGTATTTTATACCCTTCTGTAATTTTTAGTCTGATGGAACTTTGTCAATTCATATAGTTAGATTTTTTTTTTTTTTTTTTTTTTTTTTTTTTTTTTGTTTTTTTGGGGGTTCACTTTCATTTTACTTGTAACTTATTATGTTTACTTGTTCATTACCTGGGTGTAGAACAGTGTGACCAAAGCATGACGATAACTAAACTGTGGAGGTGAAAAATGGTGGACACCCAAATTGTCGGTGTCCCAAAAGTTTTTGTTGGACGGACAATGACGAGATTTTTGTCGTGTTGTCTCGTTTTTCCTATTGGGTTGTTTGTCCCCTCTTGAGTAAGCACCTCACTTGGATTGTTATGTTCAATGGTTGATTGAAGTACAAGTTCGATTTTCTTGAGAGTTTTCAACTTCATGAAAGTATATATGGGTAAAAGTACTCTTGCAGAGAAACGAATAGCAAAAAAAGTAGGTGAGTGTTTCAAATTTGCTAGGTAGATTTGTTACATACGACGCAAATCTGTGGGGTTCGCGTGTCCAAAATTCAAGAAGATGAAATATAATTTATAAAAGATGGATTGAGTAAAGAGTCTACGGATCAAATGATTAACGATTCAACTGATTGTTGAGACACATTCTATTGGATATGTGCATCGTGAGGTTATGTTTTTATGGATTATAGATTCGGTCGGTTAAAAGTGAAGAATGACGTTAATGTCTCGAAAAACTCTCTATTATCTCTCTTTTCTTCTAGTTTTATAACATGTACCAACTTCTCATGAATTTTAATAGTTGTTTTCTTCCTTAGCTTCTCCTAGTCCCGTCTTGTGGGCCTCTTCTTGTTCTGTTCGTTTGGCTAGTTTGCCTCCCGGACCTTATACAAGTTTTTTAGTTATTATATCTATATCGTTTTGAAAAAAAAAAAGCTTAAAATAAAACATTATCCGTTAACACTATTCACACCATCTATGTTCATAAAATGCCATTAACTCATATTCAAACCTATTTTGCAGTAACTGTCACATCTTGCAGTAATTCATCTCCAACCGAAAAACTCATTATCAAACCTAAAAGAATATTCTCTTTTACATTAACTTTTACAACTTTTCAGTACTACCCACATATTTTACAACTTTACAAATTACACCACACTATTATTTTAAATTCAATTTGGACTTTATGTAATAAAATTAATTATAAAGTTATAATCATATACACAATAAATTGGATAAATAAATATTCACTAAAAATAAAAAATTACAACACTGAAGATAAAATTAAAAATTACAATGCATAAGATGAAAAATTAAAAATTACAATACACAAGATAAAATTAAAAATTACAATGCGTCAGATGAGAAATTAAAAATTACAACATGCAAAATAGAATTAAAATTCTCGTGCTTGTTGGAGGAAGCGGTGTCAACTTGTCAGGTTACTAAATTCTCGTGTTTGTTTTTAGTTTTTGGGTTTATGATATGTTTTTATTTTAGTATCGTGTGATGTTGTATTTCATTTCAGCACTAATTAATTAAATGTTTCCTTTAAACCATGATCTATCATGTATTAATGTTATTTCAATCTGTATTAATAATGTTTTTGTTATTTAATGTTAGTGTTTCTTTTTTTTTGTTAAATAAAAATGCCATAAATAATATGTATTTTTACATTATTATTGTGAAATATATAAAATTAAATTATAAATATGATATTTATTATTTTAAATATTATACTATCTAATTTTTATGAAATTATATTTTTAGTATTTGACATTATTATTGTGAAAAATATAAAATTAATATATATATTTACTCTATTATGAACAAATATAAAATAAACACTTGAGATGTTTCAAAATATTTTTACAGATATTGGATTGAACTTGTTGTCAAATATGCACAATCTATAAATGTTTTAGTAATATCACAACTTTTATTGTTACTTTCTTAACTTTTAAAATTAAAAACATATAATGAACACAAAAATAAAACATGGTAAAATCAAACAACGAACATACAACTAAACAATATAAATAAATTAGTATATAAATAACATCTTACAAAACAGAGAGGACCAAATTGTAATTCAAAAAAGATTTGCGTTTTGGAACAGTAAAACGCAAATTTGGTATAGAAGAGGAGAGAGAGTCAGGAAAACTCATTTTGCGTTTTCCGTTTGGGTATCGATTGGGGCAAATCCAACTCCATTTTTGAGTTTTCGGTGCCTGTTGGAGAAGCTCTTAGCTTCATTTTCATTTCTCAATCATAAAAGTATAGTGCATGGTTGTTAAACTCATATATTAGTCCTTAGCTGTGAACTTTTACATTTATGTGATAGGAAAGAGTGTTAAATCGTAGATGAGATAACAAATTATGAGAAGCTACATGCGTGCTCGTGGATGAGTTTTGTCATACCTCTCAGGTCATGTATTTACCATTTCATGAATCTAGAGCGTTTCCTTTGTTCCGAGTTTGAAGCTAGAGGGTAACAGTGGGAATCTTTCTTCTATTATAAGAAAGCTTAACCGAAAGAAGTGATGTAAAGAGAGAATTCGGAGTTCTCACATGTGCAGTTGATTCAAGGGAAAAACAATAAGTAATAATCAAATTTCTCATACAGAAGTCCATCTCTAAGATGCAATCGTAGAACATACTCTCATCATATTACAAATTGAACTCTAGAGGACTGAGACTCGTATTGAACATACCTCATCATATTACAAATTGAACTCTAGAGGACTGAGACTCGTATTGAACATACTCTCATCATATTACAAATTGAACTTTAGAGGACTGAGACTCGTATTGATAACGTGCTGTAAAACTAAAGAAAATAGAGAGATTGTATTCTCTTTGTACGATTTCTATTATCACTGAAACTCTTATTTATGCGAAAACTTTTGATAACACAATCGTAATAATACAATTACAAGTGCAAAATAGTCCTTCACAGACTCATAACTCTTATTTACATGAAAACATCTCACAATCGTGATAATACAAATTATACAATTACAACAACTATTCATGCCCCTACACTTAATAAGGTTGGTTGAAACATCACTATTTTTCTCTCTTAGAACTGGTCTTCTTC